CAGATTAAAGGGTTATTTGTAAAATAATGACCAATTATTCTTCAAAATTTTCCGTGAAATGAAAGACAAAGAAAGACTGAGGAACTGTCCCAGATTAAGGAGACTAATGAGAAATGACAACTAAACTCAATAGCTACCCTGGATTTGATCCTGTGCTGAAGGGGACAAGAATGCTATAAAGGGAACTATTGGGAGAATTTATGAAATTGGATTTAGGAACTGAAGATTTGATGAAAGCATGTATCAGTGTTAAAATTCCTGAACTTGATACCATTTTACTTTGACTGGACAAGTGATTACTCTTGAGCTTAGGAAATACATACTTGGCATGGTTTAGATCTAGGAATGGCTCCCCAAAAGCTCATTGTTAGGAAATGCAGCAGTAGAGATTGGACTAGGAGAGCTGTAACCTCATCAGTGGATTAATCCAGTTGATGGATTAGCATTTTGAATGGGTTCCTGGGTGGTAATTGAAGGCAGATGGGGCATGGCTGGAGGAAGTAGGACACTGGGGGTATACTTTTGGTGACTATATCTTGTCTCTGACCCCTCCCAGCTTTCTCTCCCTCCTTCCCTCCCTCCTTCGCTCCCTCCTTCCCTACCTACCTCCCTCTCTCCTTCCCAGCTGCCATGAACTGAGCAACTTTCACCCTTCTGCCATGATGTTTCTGCCCCAGAGCTGGCCATCCAGAAACCGAACCTGTGAAAACTGTGAGCCAAGATAAACTTTTTCTCCTCTAGGTTGTTCTTGTCAAGTATTTTGGTCACAGCAAAGAAAAAGCTAACAAAACTCTAAAATCTGAAGTCATCCCCTTTATGCCTCATAATATCATATCATGCCTCTTTCATAATATATTCAATCTTCTCTCAAATGGTTCAGAAAAATAAAATAAATGAGAGAGAGAGAGAAAGGCTATGAAGATCATCTTCCAAGAGGTGCACTGAGGTATTCGTGTGACTGCTGGCTTCATGAGTGATCCAATGGAAAGCACATGAATGATATTAAAATATGTCATTAGCACTGACTCTCCTGGCTTCCAGCCAGTGAGATAAAACAGGTGCTGAGTCCACGTTTTATGGGGTGACTATCTTTTTCCAATCTTAACTATTTGATGATTCATTATTACACATGCCACAAACTCCACCCCAGTAGATGCAATTTTTTTTAAAGGATGTAATTGGATATAAATCCTAATTGTGGGCATGTTGACTTTGATCCATTAATCAGGACTGTCACACTGGTTTACTGTAAAAGGGGTGGTAAGGAGAGGATTATCTGTCTACCAGCTTCTATTTTAAGATACAGAGATTTAAAAATAGATATTAGGTCAAGAAGGGCACACTCAGGAGTCCCTTTTGAACTCCACTTTTTAATTCTTCTTGCACAAAAACCAGGCTTAGTATATTAAAATTTCTCTTCATCGTGTCCACTTTATCATTTTCAAAGTGGGCTTACATCCCTTTTCTCCTAGACATTACATCAGCCTATGAACTATCCAGCTCTAAAGATGGGCTGCCTGGGTCCGATGCCTTGTGCTGGTGGTTACCGTTGCATACCTTGGACAAGTTACTGAGCCTCTCTGTACCCTTGATTTTATTATCTGTGTATGACAAATAAGGATCCCGAGACTTGGAGCAGCTTAACGACTTGTCTAAATCACTAAGCAATTTAGTGTGAGAGCTGGGAGCTTCTGCGGGCCTTTCCACTCCCTCATAAAGGTAAAAATGATTTTCCATAAGCACCAGCACTATTTGAATTTAAGGCATGCTCCTAAGTAAGGTGTTGTTTGAAAAGAGAAGTCATATTTCTCATTAAGTAAGCTAAACATATTTTTTCTGCCATTCACTTCGAATAAGTAAGCATTTATTCAGATAAAGGCAAGCAGCAGAAAGGGAAGAAGGGAGAAGGCTCTGGGAGTCAGAGCCCTGGGTTTGAAGCCAGTCTTTGCCACCTGCTCTGTGCTCAGTTTTCTCTCTGGTAAAATGGAAATCCTGTTAGTTTACTGGAAGGAATAGCAATAATACATGCAGACTGTGGGCATTCAATGAAATATAGCTTTTTAAAATATATTATTTGTTGAATACTTATTACTCACCAGGAACCCTCTAGACATATGAAATGGAGAAAAGGCTTTAGGCATTAGTAATGATTCCTTACCTAGTAAGGAGACTAGGCTAGTCATATACGCTGTAAGTATTTTCTCCAATATGTTTTTAAAATTTCTTGTTTATATTTTAAATTTTCTGAAAATTTTGTTTTATAGAATGCAATCTAGTGGATTTTTTTTAAAAAAAATTCCATTTGGCTACCTGAGTAGTTATGATTTTTAAGACATATTTCTGATGATACTATCTGTGATACTGGCACCTTTGGCTTGTACCCATTTCTGTTTCAAGTACTTACCTGCTAAGCTGCCTACTGTGAAAATGGATTGTTATTCTTTGAAAAGACCTTGGAGGAGAAATATGTATCTGTGGGTTTTATCCTATTTAGTTGTTTCATTTTTAATGCAGAAAATAAAAGGCAATTCTTTCGATTCAATCATTTAAGTGTGGAAATTTGACAGAATATTTTGCACAAGGGCTAAAGGTCAGGGCCTCCCTACGGGAGGTGAAATCATGTCACCACTCCATTAGTCACCCCACCCCCAATATCCTTTATCTGAAATTCCTTCACCTTGTGCTCATCTTTTCCAGAGGGACTGTGGAACCATTTATGCAAGGGAGATAAAATCTAGTAGAAGAATCATCATGGATCCACCCAACCCTTTCTCCATCCATTACTCTGATTTCTTAAAAGCTTTTCCAGGAAGAGAAAAGCAGTCAAGACTGCTAAGGAAGCAGTCTCCATGTTAGTCTCCCTTGAGATAGAATACATTTTCACCAGGATCAGATCTAGATGGAGAGATCTTATTTTCCAGCATTGAGTGTGGACAATGATGGTTTCCCTCTTGTGTCTTGATGATCATCCTGGGTCACTGTGCTGGTAAGGATCACCATAAGGTCACAGTTGGTCCTATAAGCATGCTGCAGAGTGCAGAACCTCCAGCCATCTGTGCCAGGCTGCCCACTGTGTCTCCTAGGACAAAGATAGGTTCTCTGTGCTATGGTAATCTGCAGGGTTGCAGGAGTTCTCTCTTACCACCGACACCTAGCCAGGTTCCCCTGACCTGCGTGAAGAGGTGAGGAAACCCCTGCTCCCTGCCCACCAACATGGAATACTAAGAAAGTGTTAGGAGTCTGTTACCTGGAAGCTATTGGAAGAGGAAGGAGGCATCTCTGGGGTTGGTTTGGGCACAACTTGCAGAGGGTCAAATGGAAGGAGGCAAATCAATGCCTAGTTCACTCAGGCATCTGTGCAAATCTGCCCTCCCTGCCCCATCTTCCTTGTCTCAGGCTAGCTGGGCTCAGGAACATCCCTCTAATATGGTTGTATTCACTACCATCTTTCAAAGGGAGGCAATTACAGGAGCAGGCACAAAGCAATCCTTTTTCATAGTCCCCCTATCCATTCACAAGCCCCTTCTCCTAACCCTTCGCCTCCCACACTGTCCCATATAAGCTGCCCCAGCTGGAGGGAGGGTAAAAGGGATGCATCTCCTAGTATTTGCTTCAAACACCCTCTCCCTGGCAGCCACACTGAGTTCTAAACCTTTGTCATCCCATTCCCAAATCTTGATGGTGGTCACCTGTAGGGAGCAGGGGGCAGATGGAGTCTTCATAACACACCTGTGCAGTGGTAACCTTCAGGCTATGGATATCAGGTTGACCCTGTTAGTGGGAGCACCTGCAAGTCTTATTACCTTTATGCCACGAAACTGCTGCTGGCCAAGGTCAGAGGACTTTAGAATGTGTGAGGGCCAGGGTGACTGAGGAAGGATGATGCAGAAACAGAGTCTTGGATAAGCTTCTTTTCTTAAATCTTCAGGAAGGAGAAATATCCATATGATAGAAATTCAACCCATTGGGCTGGGGATGTGGCTCAAGCGGTAGCGCGCTCGCCTGGCATTCGCGGGGCTCTGGGATCAATCCTCAGCACCATATAAAAATAAAATAAAGATGTTGTGTCCACTGAAAACTAAAAACATAAATAAATAAATATTTTAAGAATTCTCTCTCTCTAAAAAAAATAAATAAATAAAAAGAAAGAAATTCAACCCATTCATCCTAACACATGTATTTCTCAATAATAGAAGTAATGAAAGGATGCCTTCTTCTTTCAGTATATAGTTCAAAAGCAGGAAGACTCAAATAGTCTTCTGAAGAAGAAGAATATGTATACAGATAGCGAAAACATATATACACAATCTGATATATTTCCTTAGAGATAATTTTCAGGAAAATTTCTCATTGTGTTTATTATTATGTTTAAATACAGGATAAGAGCCCCCTCTGTCTGTCTTTCTCTCTCCTCCAATCTGCCCTCCACAATTCTGCCTCTTCTAGTCTGGTGGCTCCCAGGTCTAAAGCCCTCCCAGGGCATACACATTCCCTGAGGCCCTGCCATGTTTTCCTGACTGACCAGGTTCTCCCTCATCTCATCTCCCACTCCCTGTGACATAAGTCTTTGCCATTCTGTTCTCTTAATCTAGAAAACCCTCCTGTGGTGAAATGCAATTTATTCTTCAAGTCTCAGATCTAGTTTCCTTAAGAAGCTTTGGTTTATACTTTAGGGAAACAGGAGCAATTCCATTCTGCTCTCACGTCACACCTGGGGCTGACCTCGTATTATCCTTGCTTTTTACAAGGCTGTCTCTACCACTAGACACCAATCCTGCTGAAGGCAGGGGTCTTGCCACACATCCCTTAGTACTCACACAGTCCTGGAAATCAACAAATACATATCGAATTGGTCTTTAATAGCACCATCATTTTCTTTCTACACATCACGTTGATATCTAGTGTTTTCCAAAATTAATGATGCTTATCATTTCCCATGCCTGGCACTTAGGAAACTCCCATGCTTATTAGCTAAGACCACCTTTAAACCCCACAGCTGGAGAGGATTAAATATTGATAGCAGCACTCTGGTTTCCCCCCAGAGGCAAAGAAGAGCTAAGACCAAACTCACCGTCCTGTCATCACAGATGACATGTGTGGAATGACACAAACATAGGTTCTGGGTCTGAAAGGCATTTCCTCTGTAGACCTGGCATGGCGGGCTCACAAGTGAGGATATAAATTCACTTTGTCAGAGCAAACATCCCTCTTGGGGGACATGTGCTCAACCTCGAGGAGAGAGTAATGACCACAGCCCACAGGCAGCAGGAGATGAGTAATTTACTGCTGCTAGGCAATTAGTGTTGCTAGAAAAAAAAAAATTGCTTTCATTTAAAATTCTCTTTAAACTATACGTATCATGGCTCATGGGATAATTTATGTATCATTAGAAACTAAGAAACATACATCACGCTAATAAATTGTCTCCTCCATTCACCACCGCCAATAGCTCCCAGGGGTCTTTAGGAAGTCAGGGTTTTGCTGTCCGTGTTATGTAAGGTGGTATGGAATGTTCATACGCTTCTCATGCGTTCTCTGTTTCTCTGGCAGAGACAGATGGCAAGAGAAACATTTTCACGCACTGGTTTGCCACAGCGTTTGCTGTAAATGAGCCCAGAGCAGAACAGCCATGAGCTCTATTTTTTTTCCCCTGGCAAATTGAGAACTTATTTTGAATGTGGGTTTTTACTTTAAGGCCTCCCATTACTCATGTGCGCTGTTCTCAAAGATAACGGCATGTTTAACAATCCTACTGGTTCCCATGCACAGAGAGGCCCTACAGACTGAAAGCGAGGGACTGAGAAGAGCTCGGAGAGAATGTCTGTAGGTCCTGTGTCTAGACAGGTCCCCAAAGGCCTCACTGTGTGAGGTCCAAGGTCCTACAGCAACTGGGCAAACACACTTGAGGTTAGAAGTCAAGTCACCGTAAATTGATTGTCAAGAGGAAATTATTAAATGGGATGTCAGAAAATAAGACTGTTCATTGAAAGAGGTTGGGAAGAAGCAAAGGAGATCACTGCATCACCCAGCCTGCCCAAACAATGTGGAAACTGATCAACATCACCAACCACGGAGGTTCAGTCTCCATCTTGCTGAGGTGAGAAGCAGCTCCACAGCCACATATTTGAAAAACGCTGTGATCAAAATGCCTGTTGAAAAGTGATTCTGTGAAAAGACAAAGAGGAAACCTACGCGTATATATAAAGGCACCAGTCTGAAAGGGTGATGTACTACTGAAGCGTTCCAACTGTATCATATTCTGAAAAAGGAAAAACTATGAAGACCACAGAGAGACCCATGGTTGCCAAGAGTTGGAGCAAGGTGGAGGGAGGCATGACCAGGCAGAGAGAGGGATTTTCAGGGCAGAGGAACTATTCTGTATGACACTGTATTGGTGGATACATGCTACTATTGGTGCAAACCCATGGAGTGTCCACCACCAAAAGTGACTCCTAAAGTAAACGGTGGACTTCGGGTGATGGAGTGTCGATGTAAGTTCATTGATGAGATGGTAACAAATGCACTATTCTGGTGTGGGATGTAGATAAGGGAGAGGCTGTGCCGTGTGGGAGTAGGGGAGATATGGGAACTCTCTGTACTTTCGTCTCCATTTTGCTGTGAACTTAAAACTGCTCTGAAAAGTGAAGTCTAGTTTTGAAAAAAAGAAATTCTAACTTAGGCTCACTCTTCCCTTTAATTAATTCTAGCCTTTCCTTAAAAGGCCATGCTTTAATGACTGAGTTAAAAAATCATGTCATCTAGATTGACCATCTGACTTGTGAGATCCCCTGAAAAATGAACATATGGTGGGGGGCCTTGTCCAAAAAGCACTAAGAAACCCAACAGGGTGGTGCACACTTGTTATTCCAGCAATTCAAGAGGCTGAGGCAGGAGGATCGCAAGTTCAAGGCCAGCCTCGATAACTTAGAGACCTTGTCTCAAGACAAAACATAGAAAGGACTGGGGATGTGACTCTGGGGTAGAGCACTCCTGGGTTCAATTCCCATTACCACACACACACACACCACTAAGAATTTCAAGACTCATTATAGACCAGTAAACCAAACAGATGGTTCTTCAAAAATGCACAGGTCACACAGCCACAAAGCCAGTCCTGCATATCATCAGTAGCAAGAGACTGGATCATCTCAAGTGAGAAAGAAAGAAAGCTGAGCTGCTTAGCATTTGCTTAGATACATCAAATCACCAGATTCCTGTTTCTATGCCAGTAGTTCACTGTCCTTCCTAAAGTGTCTAGAATCAGAAAGCTGTGCTTTGGATTTAGCTGTGAGGTCCCCTTCAACCTATAAGCAAAAGACACTTCAAGCATTTTTTACATGTAGTGTAAGATTCTAGATGCCTGTAGAGAAAGACTCAGTGTCACTGGAAAATAGCTGAGATATTCAAACTCAGTGTCAGGCAAAGCAAAATAAAAATTTCCCAAGTTGCATGAAAATAAAAAAGAAACTGATTTGCAATAAGGTTTGTTCATCCAATGATACTTCAACAAGCAGCTGTTATAGGAGAGTTATTCAGATAGATGGGATCATATCTATGAGCATTGCAGCACTTTATATTATTATCAGGAAACAAATCTGTGGCCAAGAATGCAGTAACGGATTATTGAGCATACTTCGCTAATGACTTTAAGGCCCTTGAACATCAGTGCCAGTGCTGAGCTATTTTTACAAGAAGGTCCTCAGGCAACAGAGGGCGACAGGCTATTTGCCCCTAGGTTGAAAGGCTGGGCTAGTGCCGCACTCATAAATCCAGATTCCAAGGCTGGGCCTCCCCTGGTCTCTGCACACCTCTCCACTGTTATTAGAGTATAGGCCCTCAGCAGGATCTGGTAGGTGGTGACCGGAATCCTCTGAAGGACTTTTCCTAAATACCACCCCTCACCCTTTTGCACTCACTACCTTGGATAGGTGCAGGCTGAGAAGCAAGCTGACATGTGTTTTCCATGTTCTGACAAGTCGGCTAAAGTCCCCTCTGAGAGGACTGAGGGCCAGTGTGTACACCTTCAAGACCATTACCCTTCCATCAGGACAGCTGTGCCCCTGGTGGGGGGCCATTTGGGCTGCTTCTTCTTCATGCTGCTCCTCCAAAATTAAGTGTGAGCTTGTTAGGACTGAATTGATAATTGTCTCCAGGACAGAGCTAGATGAAGGAATTTTTCAGCACTCATAAAATCTTTATCAAAACAAAGTCCACCAAAACTGTGTGGTGAGCTCATTAGGAAATAAAGATCTTTTTGACTGGCCTGGGTGAACAGATTTGTACACATATCGACCATGCCAAAAAAAAAATTTTTTTTAAGTGCTAATGTCCACTGAGCACTTAGGTGTCATGTCCTGTTCTAGGCACTCACATTTGATGTATGTAATTCTCACAATTTCCATTTTACAGATAGGGAGATCTGTCCAAGGAGACTTAGGAGGAGGAGGAGGAGAGCCCTGTCAGGTACGTTGCAGAAGCAAAGCTCTTAATGTCTGCACAATTCCATGGACAAGTGAAACCTACTTCAAACGTGGCAAACAACTGAAAGAACAGCTTAGGTTTCAATGCCAGGCGTTGCATGAATGGTATGACTTAAATGCCAATCCAAATATATTGAGATTTATCATCACTGAGAAGCAAGAAGCGATTTGTCTACCAGGACCCCAAAGCTGCCACCTAAACTGAAATTCTAAAGGGCTGGGGATGTAGCTCAGAGATACAGTGCTTGCCTAGCATGCATGAGGCCCTGGGTTCCATGCCCAGGACCATACACACATGAAAATTGACTGGAATTTTAACTCAAATCTGTCTTGATGGCTTCCATCCCCACACTCTTTTACCATCCCAAGTCATTGAGCTTAAGATGCTACATTGGGCTTTGACTGTTTTCACTGCAAGCCAAGGAGGTAAATTCTACAAAGGAAGATTAGAGAATGAAGTCATTAAACAGAAAGGATATGACTCCTAACTTTTATAGTCAACTCCCCAAGTGGAGGCTTAGGAGAAGAGAGAAAATGGTTTGTCCCAGATTTGGCCTATTAGCAGAGTTATGAGACAACATTGTTCAATAAAATCAGATAATACAGTTGGTAAAGTAAGAACTGTTGAAAATCACTAAAAAGGGACAAAACAATGTTTCCATAGATGCAGAGTAACCTTGAAAAAAGATTTTTCTTTGTCCAGCTTAAAAGGGAAAAGAAAAGGAAACATGAAAGTCAATAAAAGACTAACATGAATCAGGAAGACCATCATTAATCTTCTACTCAAATGGCAGTCACAGCTGCGGACTGAGAGGAGATTCCATTCAGAGACAAAACTGAGTACATGGGGTTACTCTCAGAAGTTAACAAGTGGCCCAATTATGTCCCTGATTATGGAATCAGGCAAATGATCTCAGAACCATCAGTTTAAAGGTTGTTAGGTTGAAAATTAAACATAACTCTTGACATTTTCATAAAAAATTAACTAAAATGATAATTTCATCAAAGTATTCTGAGTGTAGACATGAGTTACTTACTCCTTTAAGAACGTCAGTGGTATGAACTAGATGATCTTCCCTGCCTAGATTTGGTGTGTGCACTTGAAAAGTGGGGAAAGGAGAGAGAGGAAGGTAAGGCTTCGGGGAGAGAGGCATGGCTGAGGCCAGGGAAAAAAGGAGCAATCCAAGGATGAGAGTCCTGCTCGACTCAAGTTCTAGTCTTTGCCACAAAATTAAAAATTGTTGATCCCTGTCCCTTTTATATAGCAGGTAGTTAGTAGAAATGTGACCTGAACTTTTTACTAGGTAGATGTTAAAAGATACTAATAAATAATAATAGTGCATTATGGTACAATAAAAATAAATTTATTTGAGGAAAAATATACCGTATTTCCTTGCTTAACAAAGCTGAAGTCTCCACCACAGTGGAGAGCAATTGTTAAAATGAGTGACCATTGCTACAGTTCACTGCCACATGTCATGTGTGCACAATCAGGAATTAGCACAAGTGACGAGGTATCCTCATGTTCTGTTTCCAATTCATCTGATTGACTATGCCAAAAGTCACTTAAAACATGTTGAAGAAGAAAACTTGCAGGAAAATGGGTCAAGAACTGTCTATTGCAGGTCTTTCTGTTGAATGGCATGTGATCTCTATATGGTTTAATAATTAATTCTCCATCATGGAGTCTTAATTTGGTATTGCATCCAACTATATTTCTGTGCAGACCATGAATTAACATATGTCTTTGAACTTAATAATCACTAATAACACAAATCCTTATCTGACAATAAACACACACATTTAAATACATGGCTTTCAACATCATTGTTTTGTACAGTCTAAAAAGGGATTTTTTTTTTCCATCCCAACAGCATCATGTCATAAATTAAGAGAGCAGTAGAGAATTTCATTATCACTGCTTAATTGCACTGATGCCCAGTAGCAGCCTGTGGTCTATTCTTCATCCTCCAACTTTTTATATAAAGTTTGGAACTTCGGTCATGGTCAGCCAGCTGACAGTCGCTCTTCTTTCCCAATCCACAATTAAATAAGACAATCCTTTAGGAATCACTGGTCCAGGATAATCTGTGGTCCATTTGCATTGCTGCTGGAAAAGGAGGCCTGACACTTAGTTCTTTAGCAGGACTTTAGTTAATAAGTATCAAGTGGTCATCGCTTCCTTTCCTGTAACAGAAAGGGGGTGGGAGGAAAAAAAAGCAATGATTCAAAAATCTTCACAAAGATACAGAAATACTCTATTCTAGGCACACATAGGTTATGTGGGTGAAATAAGTAAGAATAAAACAGATTAAGAAGAGTAATTTAAATTGAGACCTGAGTAGACGTTTGTAGAAACACATGTGAGCAGCTGTCCATCCCTTAGGACTTCCCTTTCCCCTCATCTAACAAAGCCTATCAAATGGCTTAAAGGCTGGTTTCCCTCCTTCACTGCAGGAGAGAAGAGGCAAGTTTAATTCACATCTGCTTACACAAGCATCTCTTAACCGAAAGCCATGTCACTTTATTCCTGGAAGAGGTTTCAGAGACCACTTAGCTCATCCTGATGGCTTACCTCCTCACCAGTGGAGGACCCAAGAGGTTGAGAAGAGGTCACAGAACACACTTGATAAGTGGCATGCCCCCAAACAAAACCCAAGTGTTCTGACGATCAAGCTAGGAGCTCTGTCAACAATCCAAAGGAGGATCAATGTGTGAGGGTTTGCTGAACTGCTTTGTTGAAAAGGAGTGAACAGGGACTGGGGTTGTAGCTCAGTGGTACAGCACTTGCCTAGCATGGGTGAGGCCCTGGGTTTGATCATCAGCACCACATTAAAAAAAAAAAAAAAGAAGTGACCACGCCTACATCCTGCCAGAGGCAGAGCTGGTATGGAAGGATGTGGTCTATAATGTGGACTGGACACCAATCTCTGCAGTACATCTCTTCCCTGGGTTGCCTCAGGGAGGTCCTTCTCCAACATTTACTATGCATTTATAGCCTTCCTCAATTTCATTCATTCTTCTGTTCCTAGCCTTTAAGCACATTAGGGCATAATTATGGATGGAGTCAAAGCTGTCATTTGTTCTCAAGGCCTCCTTAAGATCCACTTCCTCCCATCAGACCCCGTGGCCTTCACTTGCCCTTTGCAAATCCATACAACCCCCAGGTCTAGCTGACTTTAATCATAGCCACATTTGAGGCAAACATGGTGACAGCGACCTCAGTCTTGTTTGATATCCTCTTTTATCGAAACTTTCATTGTACTTCTGCTCTTGACTTTCTTGGTGAATTCTCTTGTTCCCTTAAATTCTTTCATTCCTGCCATGGGCACACCCTCCTTCACACCATGCATCTTCCAAATAACCCTTAGCAATGGTCTGCTGAGTTTGCTCCCTTCTCCTCACCTGTCAAACCCAGTCTTGGCAATCAGGCTTCCTTCCAGTCCAGCCTTTAAATCTTTCATTATTCCATAAGGCTGCACAAGAAAATCCTTAACAGCCTCGGAGGGCTCTTTATGATGCAAACCAAGGTCCATATGGTAAATACCATAGACCCATCAGTCGCTTTTCAGAATTCACAACTATGTTTCCCAGTGATTTTTTCCCCACTTATATTTAACAACATAATAGAAAAAAGCAACTGAGATACTTTCCTTACCCAGGCCAACTCCCAGAAGGCAGATGCCTATTAAGAAAATTATTTTCCCTTTATCTCAGTTTCCACGGCAACAATTTAATGCTCACAGAGGATGAAATATGATTTTGAAGATTCAAGTCTTCTTAGAAGACCTCATTTCATATTTACCAGACATTCTTTGGATATGCTCAATCAGATCATTTCAAGTCCCAAGATGCAGTGTGAATTGATTAACAGAAAAATACATCCTGAAGTTTTAAGTGGCAATTATGTTCCCCCATCTTCCTTAGGAATTTGATTTTAGAGAAGCCTTCTCAAAAAACATGGGTAGGGTATACTTTAAGTTAAAAACTTCCATTCCTGACTTTTGATGAAAACACACATGGGATCATTTAAGAACACTGTCCTTGTTTGACCCCCATTCTAGACCCCAAACCACAGTGCGGTATCCTTTGTCCACTGAGGTTGAGGAAATTTTTCTAACAGTCCAGATGACAGCAAGCAAAGCACAACTCTCCAATGAAGAGCTTCCTCTACGGGTGGGTTTGCTGCTCTTCTGAAGAAGGTTATTTGCACCATAAACTATAAGAAGGGAAATGCCTTTGACATTCTCAGAGTTCCATCTCCAAAATCAAGAGTTCTTAATTTTGACCTCTTGCTATAGCCACATGAAAGTTCTGCCTCTTGACTTTTGGGGTCTAATTCATGCCTTTCATGATATCCCTAAGAGATTGCAATCATGTCATCATGTAGCTTTCTACACAACCCTGTTTTGCAAGAAATAATTCCTTTCGAAAGCCAATTTAGGGAGGAAAACAATGAAGGATGAAATATCTCCCACAAGAAACTGATTCCAGAGTATAGGGTTAACCTTGGAGCAATCCTTTCCTAAGGCAACGGAGTAGCTCATCTCTGGATGGTGGACATTAAATACAATACTGACCTCCTCAGACAGCAGACACTGGACAGGAAGGCTGAAGACTCTTTCTGACACTCCTCTTTGCTGCTACATTCCTTCAGGAATTCCTGCAGATCCGTTTCAGGAAATCCATTCTGCTGGTATTTCTTTAAAAAAGCACACAATGCTGTTACCCTCTCTATAGAGCATGAGAAATTGCTCCCTTTGTCAACGAACCAAATTCACCTTTGCTAAAATAAAAGTCTCCCACAGTGCAAGCTGAGATCCAAGAAGTGATATTAGCAATGATGAATTAATCTGTCAGTCCTAGAACAGCCAAGACAGGGCCACCATGGGAACAGAGAACAAACTAAAGGAAAATTCCAGAAAGAAAGCCAGGGAGAGCAAGGGAGGGAAATAGTCAAAAGTCTAAAGCTAGAATGCTAATTGCAAGACTATAATAAGACCTCCCACTCCACACCCTGCAAGGTAGAATCTGCCTATGAAATTGACCGCTGAAACAGAAAGAAGTAGATTTTTTCCAAGTAGAAACAAAGACCCTAGGCCTAGGACCCCTTCCCTTCACAACTGGTGGGGTCACCGATCTCAACAAGAGGCTTGCCCATGCACAGGGACACGGCCACTCAAGGACACCAACTTCCACAGCAAGAGCATGCAGGTCTCCTTCGGCCATGTCCTGCTGTTGGAGTCAACCACCATGCCCCGCTGGATGCTGATCCCCACTAAGTCAATACCTGGCTTTCTTCTGAGTTAGTCTGGGGAAGGGTTAAGCAGAGGGCAGCACCTGAAGGTGCCGACATGGTATCCAGTGTTGTTCAGGCACTGGCCCTGAAGGGGGCTTCCAAGAATAGCCATCTGCTGTGCAGGTGCCTGGGGAGGCCAACTTCCCTCAAGATACCAACTGATAAATTAGGCCCAGCCAGGTGGCTTAGAAAGGTCCAAGCTAAATAGAGAAAAACCCTTCACCCTCCTGACTTAAAGGAAACCTGCACCATGCAAGTGGCCAATGCATTCAGTATAAGGTCCAGCAATATCTGGACAGTGGTCAGGGTGGCAATCATCTCTCATCCCTGAAATTTACCACCCAGTACCTAAGTTCCAGGTAGCCATGCAGGTAGGTGTGTCCATCAGTGCCTAGAAAACTGCCCAGCTACTGGACTCACCTCCTCTCCTATTTCCTTTCTCTTTTCCACCACACCTACAAGCCAACACACCAGGTCTGGGTAACAGGGACATTGTCCTAAATGCATATTTAAAATTATTTTCCAGCATCTAAAAGTGTATTTTCTATAAATCTTCAAAATCTAAATAAAATTATAATATTTTAAGTAAAATATATTTTTCCTGTCTTCTAATCTATACAGAATTTACAGTGGAGTTTTTTTGGGTTTTTTTGCAGCAAATATAGATAACTACTTACTTTAATGGTGTCGTAAGAATCCGTAATAAGTGCAATAAAAAGGCTGAGAATCATGTATATAAAAAGGCTGATGAAGGAATACAAGTACAGACGGCTGAATAGCCACACCAAGATGCTCTTCTGCTGGATTTGAGCAAAGGTTGCAAACATGTCGTCACCATTGACCAGGGAAAACAGGCACTCGGCAACTATGTTCAGGTTTTCAAACTGCAAGAGGGAAACAGATCAGCTTCTGAGATAAAGTAGGCTCCAGAGCAGAGAGCTTTAAGAGTTTTCTTAAAGTTGTTTTTGTCATTAGTAGAAGACAGAATACCAAAAAAACTAGACAAACATGATTCAATACCCACTCCATACTTTCAAAGAAAATCTTTTGACATTTCCCTTGGCTTTTTACCATGCATTTTGTATATGTTCACGGTTACTTCGTATAACAAATTTGGATCCTGATTTTTTTTTTTCTATTTAACAAAGCATCTGCTTATTCACGCATAGAGAGCACTTGTTATCTAACAGACCATTTCTTGAATGTGCCAAATTTAACTACTTCCCAGCCACTGGATATTCCAGGTTTGCTATTATAAATTATAACAATGTAATGAACATTTCTATGCACAATGTTTTTTTCGTGTTTTTGGGTCTAAGCTAGTCTGCAACTAAACGCAAGTACTTTTACTTTTTTCAAACCAGATGGGGAACATGATCTGCATTTCCTCAAAGTAACCAAGAAAAAGCACACAGAAGATCTAGAACAAGAAGAGCCCAGGGCAGGATGCCAGTCAGAGGCAGAGGAAGTCCAAGTAAGATGGGAGACCCCCTGACCAGAGGTGGGGAAGGTGCATCTGGGGCAGGGCTGAGGGAAAGGACTAAAAGGGCTCATGTTTAGACAAGGTGAGTCTGAGGTTCCACAGACTAGGTATTTCATTTGAAATGTGCACCTGGAGTTGAGGAGCCACTGGGGAACACCACCAAACCTTGGAACCTCCAGCTGTCCTGGATTTGAACAGTTGACAAACTTTGCCACATCCACTAAGTAGAAACAGCAGTGCTTCGTGGGCTTATTATCTCTAGGGCAAGAGGATTAAAATAGTAGATGCCTGTGAAAAGCTTCTATCTAAAGAATAATAATGAACTAGTACACAAAAGACAATACAGATTTTTTTTCTTCCGGTGCTGAACCTGAACCCAGGACCTTGCATATGCGAGGCAAGTGCTCTGCTGCTGAGCTACATCCCCAGCAACAAGCTATTTTAAGAAAGATGAACCAAGTTCTTGTACTTCTGCCCTTAGGTACGACGGCCTGCATGCAATTAAGTCAGTGTGGCTTAGGGGGTTTGAAAGACCTTGATGAATGTCTGGGACACCTTCACTCTGGAGTCGTGCTACTACTTCACATGCAACAAAATAAACCTCCCACCACCCTAACCAGGAAAAGGGACAGTCCCTCCAAACTTACTGATTTCTGTCATTGAATCCAATCTCCTACCAAAGGATCATTGGCTCCATAGTAGTCAAGTATTTAAAACTATGTGTGGAATTTTGATCTTCCGTCCCTTCAATCTTCTAAGGCCTGTTCTTTTGACATGTTTCTCTGATCCACTTTTTTTTAACTCCACTCTGATTATCAACATTTATAAATGGATTATTACTGAAACCGCCAAGGAAGTGTCTTTCACTCCAACCTCTTTACCCGACAATCCAAGCTGCAGTGAAACCTAAACTTCATAGAAGATGGCTTTCAGGTCATTTCTCTTGCTTAAGGTTAGACAAAGTCTGGATGTAAAGTACAAACCCAACCGAGAAGACTGGGGTAAGTTCCTCCTTCACGCGGCCTCTCTGCCTCCCTTCACTGTAAATATGAACATCCTGTGCTTGTCTCTGCCCACAGCACCATGACCATGGTCTATATTTTGTCCTCATGGGATTTATTCTCCTCATCTCATGTATTTTCCTTCAAGTCAAAGTCCAAGGACCAATTCAAAGTCCACTTCAAGACAGCCTGCCCTGGCAGTTCTAGTTCTTTCTCTGCTCTCTGTATCAGCAAGAACCACAGAGCAATGCACGCTTCTTTTTTACCCCTATGAATAAACACCAAGTCTTATACTTCTTGTCCCATGGCTGGATTGGGCTGGGTGAAGTTGGTGGGCCAAACAATAATCACATACATACTTTGCTAAATCGACAATTTTCAGAAACCGGATTAAAGATACTCTCCATAGAGACCTGTAGGGAACATCCAGGTGAGCAATGCACTTAATATGCAGATTATTTCACAGTAAGACAGGCAATTCCTAGTGTGAATATTTTCCTCTTGTCTACTAGTCTTAAGCCGGTGAAGTTAAAGCTAGCTCTATAGATGTCAGTAACTACTCTGGCCGTACTGTATTCCTCAATGTTTCTTTAAGAATCTGGTCAATTCCTTTCTTTAGTTTAAAAACCCCTAACAGTTTGTCCTTCAGGTTTCAAAACTGTAAATACCTAATTAGTCACTACCTACCATATTAGTTTCTGAGTTTTCTATGGTTATTTAATTTCAGCACCTTCCATATTAGTTTGTTAATTTTCTATGTAGTTATCTAATTTCAGCCTAGACATAATATCTACCTCAATATTAATATTATTCATAACCATTAAACCTCTCCTTCCCATGTAGACCCAAGAATTATTATAGCCCATCAAAAAGTTACAACTGAGACCAAATAAATTGATTGGTGAATTCCTTGTCATTTCTGTATTAAAAGAATTAGCTATAAATCAGAGTCAATCTCAGTGGCCAAATCCCATAGAAATTATCTTAAAATACAAAGTAACATCATAATGTGCTTCCAATTACAAGGACCACATTTACAGGGCACTGTTTTGTTTTTTGGGGAGGGATAGGGTACCAGGAATTGAATCCAGACCGCTCACCCACTGAGCTACATCTCCAGCCCTTTATGTGTTTTATTTAGAGACAGGGTCTTGTTAAGTTGCTTAGGGCCTTGCCAAGTTGCTGAGGCTGGCTTTGAACTTAGGATCCTCCTGCCTCAGCCTCCAGAGCCACTGGGATTAGAGGTGTATGCCACCATGCCTAGCTTGTTTTGGTTCATGAGATCTTGGACCCCGGAAAGTAAGTACTGCTGTCTCTCTTTCAACAAAACTTCTTGGGCACCTGCACCTGTCTTGAGACTGGACACTGGGAACCTAGAGAATAAGCCACAGTTCCTGCCTCCCAAGAACTCAGTCTAGAAGAAACTGACAAAGTCTGATGCACTGCAGACATTTAACAAAAATTAAATGGGTATTTCCATAAAAAGTCCCCGTAGTTTCTACAGGACCACACTGCAAATCCAAACATTCATTTCATGAATGATAATTTAGTGATTGAGCCAAAAAGAACTTTCACTTAAATACAAACACAATTTTCAATAGCTTATGTTGGAGAATGATAGAAAAGTTTGCTTCGAGAGCTGATGACCAGAATCTCATGCAATATTTAGATAATATGTTTTAACTAACTAGTTTTTCTTTGAAATAAGAGGTACTTGGTTAAAACCAGAGGCCTTAGAGGCATGAAGGTATATCAGGTCTGCAGAATTTTATTGCTGGCATCAGCAAAGTCCAAATATTTTTCAATGCCTTGGTCTTTTCATTTGTTAAATGTGGACAATGCAAGACCATTATTTATCCCTCCAAGTTAAAAAAAAAAAAAAAGTCCCTGGAACTATAAAAGCCACATTAGCGTAATGTTTAATAATTCACGATGAGGTCTGGAAGAACATCAACAGTCTTTAGCTCTCTGTGCCCAGACATTTTGAAAAGGCCTGGTGCCAAAGTCCATTAGGGCTAGAAATGAATATCAGTGGGACACTTTTTGTACCTCTGTTCCCCTTCGGTCGAACCAGTGAAATCAGATGTCTAACAGGAAAACAGGAAGATGAAATGTCATGGGACTCCAGCTACTAAACAGTAGCACCAAATTATAATTTTTCTGATACGACCCCCCCACCCCACCCTTTAGTGTTGTTTGCTTGTTTCAAAGAAAGAATTAGCTTTAACCCTTAAAGTCACTGTGTTTTTAAAACAGTAGAAAATGCTTGCTGGGATGCTCAGCTCCTCAGAGTTTTGGGTAACACTCAAGGTCCTCTGATTCAATGACTAATAGAAGAATCTGAAAATTCTGACACTTTGGGATTAATTTAGGAGTGCTGGGACAGGGAGCGGTAAAATTTTCAATCTTCAGATTAAAAGTGGCAGAAATATGGAGCAGAAAAGCAAAAACTTCAGAACCTGACTTGTGCATTTATTGAATTAACTGGTCTAAATTTT